CTCTGCACCTCTATGGCACTATGTATTCACGTTAGTCTCCTCTCCTTCGTGTCGCGCGCGGAGGCGCTCGTCGCGCTCGAGAAGACGCTCCGCGATGCGTCCAGTCGAGCCGTTTTAAGCGTAATTGAAACCGAATTCTCGGACGGTCGAGCGTCTCTTAAGTACACCGGCTCGAGAACTCGATAGAACAGAAACAAACGTACGAAAAAAAAAAAAGAAAAGAAAATAGTAAGAAATATAGTGAAAATTGGAAGAACGTAACTCGTTCTCCGCAGGAACGGGTACACGCTTCCGTGAACGCATCGCGCGAATCTTCTAACGATTCCGCGCGATATGGAAGACGCAAAACAAGAACGAATTCAATCGCCATAAATTCAAATGTACAATACCCCTCGAAAGTTCGGAGCACCCTTCGATCGTCCATTATTATATCATCGGCACCGAAATAAAATCTTTTCATAAACCCCGAACTCCTTTCAGCGAGAGCTTCAGTCTCTCGTTTTAGTATTTTATTTCATCCTATAAAGAAGGACTTATTTGTTAATTAAGAGTGCAATGACTGTTCAAAAGGACGGTAAATATTCTTTGAACCGGTATAAAAAGTTTGCCATTTATCGGTTGTTTTGACTTCGATGCTACTTTGTAGACAGATAGCAGCCTTCCGTTATTGAGCAACAGTTCGTACGAATAAGCTCACATCTGCGAAGAAGTTCACGGAGATAAGATTGTTTATGCGTGTGACTACGGCAAATGAAATATAATCTACGGACCGATGACACATTATTTAGAATATTCGGTCGATGCATTCAATTTATAGCTAAATGCACTTTGAGAATTTTTTGAGAAGTACAAAAATTAATAAATGCCTCGAATGCAGGTTCATAGCAGCTGATTTCCCAACCGAATAAAAATATCAAACGTACTAAGAATTCGTAATGAACTATATTCAAATATGATGCAAGTTTGTATTGGAAATCGTACGTGAGCGAGCCCTAATTAATATGCAAGATTTCTATTTCACTAAAATGGTTAATATTAATGGTTACGAGATAAAACTTTTAAAAATATGTACTCAAAACCGATAAAAACTTCTGAATAAGGTAAAGGAATAAAATATCACAAAACGAGTTTCGAGTTCTCAGTATAAAATATCAATTCGTCACGATCCAATTTAATCAAAAAATACGATTTCATTAGGAAAACTTTAAACGATCGTTTTCGTCGCAGGCGTTCACTGTCTGGTCTCTCAGCGGCATATACAATAACGCTGCACAGTGACCCTCATGCGGGCCGTGGACAGTGAACGCGTAAAATCACGGACCGAGTATAAACAAAACTACACTCAAAGATCGAAAGGTGCTGCAAGCTTTCGAGCAGCAACATACCACTCGCGCAGTGAACAAATTAACCAATACAAATGTACAATTCAACGATTAAAAATATTAAAAAAAAAAATAAAAAAAAAAAGAAATTGAGAAATAGTACAAATTGAGCGTCGTGTTCGCGCATGTCCGAATATCGACGGTAGTACGAAACGCCGTGGAGAACATCTCGCGTGTTCCCCGGGGTTTCCAGCGCGACTTGCAGTTCTCAGTTCCGTTGGGCCCGGACTGACGACGCTCCATGTCGTTTCCCGGGGCCCGTTGATCGCGGGTGGGGGTCAATCAAGCCGAGAGACCTTCCGCGCAGGTCTCTCGACCCTAGGTTCGGCACTCGTAACTAGGGTTCCGACCGACCGGTGCCGAAGCCCACCTTCCGACCTCCGTACACACCCTTGTTGCTTATCGTTCTCTCTCTTTTCGTTCAATATCTCTGATTGCGATCTGGCGCGGCGTATCGCCGCGGCGTATCTCACGAACGGAGATCTCCTCCCGGTGCCCCTGCGCCCTTCACCCTGTTTCCGTGTTACGTACCTGTCGTGTGGGGGCCGACATTTGTTCTCCCCGTGGACCCTGTGTGATATATACTTGTTTCTTTCTCTCGCACTCTCGCGGTTAAATGTATCTCGCACGGTCCACGCGAGGCGTGTTGGTGAACCGTGCGTGTGTAGCCCACAGAACACCGGCGAACGCTCGCGTGTGCCCGCGCGTAAAAGTCTCCGTGTACTGCTATGATTCATGACGACTGTGTCTCGTGTATTTGCGTGTGTGTAAACGTGTATATATATCTCTCTCTTTCTCTCTGCGTGTACGTGTGTGTATAGATTTTTCAACGTGTGCGTGTTTGTGTAGGAAATGCTAATTCCAGGGTCAAGGAGCTCGCCTTAGAGGCTCGAGCTTCAGCGGGGCACCAGCTGGGGGGCTTTCTCCGTTCATCCGTTCTGTTCCTGGCGCATGATCGCGCAGGTTTCATCGTTTTGGCTGAACACAAGGGTTATTAAGTACGGGGATTGGGGGTGGACCTCGCGCGCCCTGCCGGCCAGGACTTGTACCTCACACAACTCCCTAGTTACGAGTACCGAGACCTAGTGTGGCGATGATCGTGGTTTCCGATCGCGTACGACCCGTGGGCGTCTCGCTCTCTCGGCGTTTTATCGCGCGTGTCGAGGGGGGGTTGGCTTGTCCGTGCTGCCTCCGTCGATCGAATCTCGTTCTCGCGGATCACCCTGCTCAAGATACGCCTCGTGGAAGGCCGATCGGGTCGAATCGTCGGTGCTCGAAAGTCGTCGGATATGGTTAAAAGCATCGGTTCCTCTGAGCGTAAATCTCGAGATCCGCGACGATCCACGGCGTATTCTGAGCAGGATGAGACGTCGTCGATCTATAAACCGGTCCCTTCGTGTCCTTTTCATCAGCGTTCCCCGGTTAACCACTAGTCGAAGCTACTAATAAGTTAGAAACTATACGTCTATCTCCGCTACGGTTTCTTTCGATTCATTCTCACGTTTAAACTTTTTTTTTTTTCTCTTCCTTCCTCGCTGCCGTTCGTTCCCTCTAACGCACTCACTCATGCACGCGCGCGATTCTTAAATTAATCCGAACCGTTCCGTTTAAAAATAGACACAAAATTCATCTTGTCACGCTTATAAGCCTTAATCCTATTACGTATATCCTGATCACGGTTAATATTTCGTTTAGCAATTAATCGTATCGCCTTCTAAACGGCGCTCAGAAGACAGACGTCGCGTCAACGGTGTCACGAAACGCGCCATCGTCGATGTTGTCGCGCGGAAAGTAAAAAAAAATTCACCGCGATCACCGATCGCTCGACGATCGTCAGATGCCTACGGAAGAAGATGCTGGGCCGAGACGACCCTCTGTCATCGAGAACCTAAAACCCTCCATAAGAACTGGTCGGATTCCCTGAAGGATTGAACCAACGAAAGCTTCCGAAGAGACGTCGAGTCGCGCGAACCGAAAGAATCTCTCGAAAACTCTCTAAATTGACGCGCGTCTTTCGCTCGATGCTAGGTGTCCATCCAAATGATTCTACTCCGAAAGATTCCTCTCGAGAATAGAGCTACGGACGCAACGATTTTTCGACGATAATTGCACAGTCTGTTATCACGAAGGGATATAGCTCAGCAAGCTCGACAATATTGTTTGAATATTGTTTAAAATAAGTGACGTTTTAGATGATTTTGCTTAATTTGCTGAGCTATACTTAAGTATGTTGGATGGCAGTACGGCGTTCTCAGTTCTCTGTACAATTATCTCGAGGTACGATCGTTGCGTCTGGGGCACCTGTTACTCTCGACGGTTTTCCGCTCCGGAGCAAAACTATCGACTGGACGCCTAGCGTAACGATACTATGGCCCACCGTGTCGCCCTGCCGCTAGAGCCGCGCCCTTCTAATGCCCGGTTTGCCCGCGAAACCGCGCGCTGTGCCACGCCGCGAGAGACCTTGAAGGAAACAGTAGGAAAGGGTGAGGCGCGCGCGTTCATCACCACGTGGCGACTCACGTGTCCCCGCGACGCTCGACCAGAGGGGAAGAACCGAGCGACGACGACGCCGGGACGCGCGGAATCGATCGCGCGCGGCCGCGACGTCCCTCCGGAGGACACCTCTCGGAGATCGGTTCCCGAGGGGCATAACAGAGAAGCGAAGAAACAAAGAGGAGCAAGACAATACAGAAACAGATCGTGAATGAACTCGTTAAAGCCAGCCAAGTGCCAAACAAAGTAACGCTCCGTACGTGACACTCGTGAGCGACGTACTGGAAGTATCCGACAAGTAGCGCCAGTCCAACAAATACGCGTCGATCGACGCCCGTGACCCACGACCCGTTCCCGCAAGAAATCGGCGAGAACGGCCAAGCAGTGCTCCGAAGATCGAGCGGCCCACCTGGGTACACGTATCCTCGACTCTCCGTGGACCTCTCGCGAGGAACGCGAGAGGGCGCCTTGCGCGTCCGCGGCTCTCCCCGCTGGTCAGTCGCGATCGAACCATCGCGACGCGCGGCTCACGATCAACCCCTTTCGTTTCAGGGACGCGACGCTGAAGACGCGGAGAACGAGAAGAGGAGAGACCGGCCGGCGACGCGGGGAGAACGCGTAAAGTAGCAGATAGAAGAAGGTGAAAGGGGAGATAAGAAGAGAAAAGGTCTGGCGGTATCGGCACGGAAGTCGCGTCTATTACGAGCACGGATAAACGGCCGAGCTGATGCTGTGGTAGGCGGCGAGGGCGGCGTGCGCGTGCGCTGGGGGCGCGGATGCGGCTGCGTGCGGCGAGGTGGCCATCGCGGATGCCGCCGCGGCTGCCATCATCATCTGTTGGTGCGTACGCTTTAGGGAGTTGGGAGTTGTGGCGGCGCTACTTGGGGTAATAGCAGTAGTAGTGGTGGTGTTCGACTGCGGCGCAGGGTGGTGGTTTTGGCTTTGGTTTTGGCTCAGTTGCAAGGGGGTGGTAGTGGCGGTACTGCCGATACCGGCGTGATTATTATTATTATTGTTATTATTATTCTGGCTCTGGTGGTGATGGTGGTGGTGATGGTGATGGTGGTGGTGGGGGGTGATCGCGTCGTGCGGATAGTAAGACGTTGACGATGGTGAGGTACTCACGACGTCCGGCGTGCTGGCTCCGTCCGTGTGGCTGGTGCTGTCGGCGGTGCTCCTCGGTCCGCCACCGTCCAGACCGTTACCAATCTCCGGGGGTTTCGAGCTCTCCCTGTCGTCGATCACCAGGTCGATCGGCATCTTGCCCTTCAGGCAGCTGATGTACCGGTGGCAGAAGTTGTCGCACAGCTCGTGCACCTGCGAACGCAAAAACGTCTCGATTAACATGCATCGTTTACTGCTTTAGACTACGCGTGTACAAATAGATCCCTAAAATAGCAAACCAGGCGTGCAACCGAGATGCAACCTGGTTCGAATACGGTATCCTGGCTAACAACGATCGTTGGCTGTAAACCGTTCACCCGGTATTTTCACCTCGAGCCGAAGGTACCAAAAGATCCGGCCGATACGGACGCTGGTATCGATACACAAAGATGGAGGAGAGGCCGTCGAGGAGTTCGTTGCATCTCGAGGCCGTGGAAACGGCTCCGCCGGGGCGAGAGAGACAGAGATAGGAGGTCTGACCGGTGTCCAGTCGACCAGAATGTTATGTATGCAAATGAGGTCTGACAGGCCTATAGGATACCCGGTCCTCCGCCGTCCTCCTCACGGTTCTTCCTCCTCCCGCTCTCCCCTGACCCACTCCCCGGCCGTCGAGCCGACTCGCCGCGGACCCGGCCTGGCCTGGCCGCTTGATTCGGTTTAGAAAAAATGTATTATATAAGCAAAAGCAAATAAAAACGGTTATCTTGTTATATGTAAATCGACGGGGAGGGACGAGGCCTCGGCGCATTACGAGGCGGCGCGTCTTCTCTCGTTGCGAGCGCGTACGCGGTTTCTTCCCTGTTCTCTCGTCGGGCTTCCTCGGCCTCTCTCTCGCCTCTCCTCTATCCACCTAGCGGATACTTACGGCCGTCTTCTTATTAGGCATTTATATGTAATAGAGAAGACGGCCATCTTTGCCGTAGGCGGCACCGTCCAATGGTGGAAGGCCAACACCGACCCGTAGACAATGCACGCGTTTATCATGCGTTAAGCGTATGCGAGAGGAAGGCTCGTTGATCGAACGCGAGCCCGATGCACGGACCGATCCTCTTTCGAGACGATCGCCGCCGCGCGACGTTCGACCGGCTCCATGCATGCGATATTTCACGATACCCTTTTCCCAACTCGATCCGTTTGCTTCTCGCCGGAGCTGTCGCCCCTACACCCTTCTTGCTCTTTCGGCGACACCGGTTTGGGATCGATACTCCTGGACCAACGACTCTGCTCAAACCTACTCAACATGGCTGACGATAGGGAATTTCTTTGTCCTTGGATAGTAGCCTCTCCCATAAAGAACGAGCAAACTGTTCGAAGATAGGAAGTAGGAACCGTGTCGACCAACCTCCGATCCCTCCCAGCATTAAAAAATGGCCGCTATCCACGAAAGATCTATCCGCAAGACCGACCATCTAGCCTGAACGTTCTGCCCCTCGAGAAGAGACTCGTTGATCGAACGCAACCGATCCTCTTTCTAGCCGATCGCCGCTTCGTGCATACGATATTTTACGATACTCCCCTTTCCATTCGTCGTGCGCTCGTCTCATGGGAAAATCGCGTTCCCGGAGGCGACTGACAAAGACTGATATCGGGTCAGCTTCGGTTCTCATGCCAACCTCGGCCAATGTTCGCCAGAATTTTCTCCGAAGTACCAACGCGGTAACACAATGCCTCCACGAGATGACTAGACTCTCTTTAACGCGGGGACCAAAGGGCGGCGAGAGGGGGCGGAGGGCTTCGAAGGACAGCAGCTATAATGCCGGACTGGTTAGAATTTGATCCGCCGGGAGTCGAGTCGAACCGGCCGACAATGCTCACCGAAGAAAAGAAACGAGGCCCGTCGTTCCTTCTCTCTTCTTCTCTCCTCCCCGGCTGGATCGCCGAAAGGACCACGCAGAATGTTCACCTACACCGACGCCCGGGGCCCCCTGCGCGCGGGAACACGGATATCGAGCCATTTTTTAGCGCGCGCCTATCGCACGAATAAAGAGGGATCGCCGTTCCCAGAAATAACGAGTTATCGGTTTGGAAAAAAACATTGCTCGACGTTTTGCAAGCTCTGCTTGCTTCGGTACTCGTAAGGGATATAACGATCTCGTAAAAACTGCGTGGTGCCAAGACGGTAGCATCGTAGACCGCAGGGTACCATCTCGAGTAAACTGTTATCACGTAAGAAAGAGACTACTTAAAGGAAGAGCACGTGGAACAATACTTCCACATCCTCGCGAATGCACAGTACACTTCCGGTAGTGCGTCCCGCGAATCGATGAACCGCCAACGCGAGGAGAGCTGTTTAAAGAATCGACATCGATACACGGTCCCCGAAGCCCCCGTAGAACACGATACGCCGCGGAGTTTTTGCCAACTATCGCGGCCCTTTGAATCGCGTCACCCTACACCGCAGACGATGATCTCGACCGGGTTGACACAGGATCCAACGAGTTCCCCGACGACACCGAGCACTCGACTCCAGCCGGAGTAGTCCATCTCGTTCGAGTTCCCGCGACGAGCAAAAGGTACGCGGCGATCTCCATCCGGAGCTTCCCCGGATGCATCGGGAGAGTCTAGGACACGCGATACGCGAGGACTCGAGAGTAAAGGCGAGCAAAACGAGCGCGAGATTACGGATCGGGCCCTGGTAATCCAACACCGCGCGAAAATGTTCGCCAAAAGTAGTCGGTGAGGTGTGGTGGTCCAGGTTCCGTTCTCCGGCCGGGGGAAAAAACGAGGACGTGCCTCGTCGACGAAAGATGCTCTTCCTCCGCTCTTTCGGATCATGTCCTGGTCGCACGGCCCCACGGTTGACATTGTATACCTTGGTCCTAGAGTCAAGGATACGCTAGGTGGAACGCAACGCACTTGATTGGTATCTAATTCATCCGGGACCACCGTCTCGGATTTTCTGATACGGGGAACGCGCTGCCAGCACGGGGGGACGAGGGGAAAGCTTTGTGGGGGCACGGAAAATATCGAGTGTCTCAAAGGATCGCCGTTTCCAGCGGGATCGTGGCTCGCCTTCTCCTTGGCGCAGCCTTTCTCAAAGCGGGAACGCCGCGACCCACTCACGTGTGGGTTTCTTGGCGGAATTGCGTCCCAACCGGTGAGACCGGGCCCTTTCTTGATTTCTTGGGCCAGTGAAATTTGTAAAATAGTCTTGCGAACGTTGCAAGTAGATCGATGGAGAAGTAATATTTCGTCTATGAAGCTTCTTGCGGTGGTAATTTATTTTACGTTAATATTATTGAAAGATTGATAAATTCCAGGTGTTTTACAACATTTGCAGGACTATCGGGTTAACCATGCGATGGTTTTCTGGAGGAAGGTTGAGAAACACTGGTCAGACGGAGGAGAAAGCCCCGCTATCGGCGGAATTATCCACGCGAGTATTTAATTTCCACGAGCGAGGCGGACGTAAATTTTCTCGAACGGTCCCGAAATAAAAGCATCGAGGATCGCCGCGCGATGGGGTATCGCTTTCATTACGTCCCCGCGAACGCTTCTCGTGTTCCCGCGGGGTACATGCGACACCAGAGGCAACGCCATTACCGGAAGGTGGGCTCCGGCTGTGTACAAGCGCCAGAAGAAACTCAATGGCTGTGCGACACCGGCGACGCTGTCGCCTGTAACTCGAGATTATTCCCATTTTATGGCCGATTTAACAAGCTCCGCGGACGGGGGTGTCGGTTTGTACGCGCGCGGAGAAGAGAAATTGTCGCCGGGATTTCACCAAGTGCCCCGTTCCGAACTATCCTTGCAAACCCGTTCCACCGCGGTCGCTGTTGTTCCTTTACTCGAAACGGGGGTAAGGCAATGCCCGCTTTCAAGCAACAATTTCTACCCCAGATTCGGATTCAAGCCATGGAATTGTTCCTCTAGTTTTTTAACATTCCATCGATACCGATTTATCTCTATCTTGGGATAAAAATAGCAACTCACCCCGCTTTCAAGCAACAATTTCTACCCCGGATTCTTGCAATGTAATTGTCCCCACCACTGTTTACATCGACACAATGCAATTAATCGCTACAAGCCTGAACAAAATAGACGACCCACGCCACTATCGAACGAACGATCCCGATTTTGTCACTTGAAAGCGGGTAAATTTCGATTTCTTCGGTACCGAGAAGAGCTCCGGTTGACTGTGCACGGGGAAGCTCGTCGAGAACGGCCGCGGGGCCACGCTGGAAACGAGTTCTCGAATTCAAAGACTTCTTAAACGGCCCCCGTTGTCCCGTCTTCCTTTCTCCGCCGCCTTTCTCCTCCCCCTCGATCGAGGGGAGGTTCCGCACGAGGCGACATTATACCACCGCCAGAGGTCCTCTTTCATTCCGGCCCCGAAATTACTCGAGAATTTACGTAAACGAAGGAACGAGCGAGCAAGTGTCTCTCCTCTCCCTGCGGCCTGCCCTCCTTGCACCGCGCCTTCCTCCCTCTGTTGACGGGCTCTCGGAAAGGCAAACGGCGAAGAATGGAACGGATCCGGGGTACGTACGAACCGAGGAGAGAAAAAAAGGAGCGCGGAGCGAACCCCATTTACGGCACAATGGGCTCCTTTGAAGCCGAAGGTAATGAAGGTTTCGGGGTGTCTGTCTCGGTTCCTCTCCCGTGGCCCGATTCACAACCTGACCACCCCTTACGGCACGCACAGGATACCCATATACCGGGTGTGTACGTACAAACGATTCCTCGTTTCCTTCCCTCTCCCGAACGCCCGGTGACGTCTTGCCTCTGGCGACCCCAAACGCTTGCCACGGGAGCCGAAAATGTACCTGGAGCTCCTTCTTAACCTTTCGGGGGTCATTGGGGATTCCAACTAGAATCCTGCAGATTGCGATACAATGAATCCAAAAAAGAACGAAGAGAAATTCTATTCAAAAATGGCTGACGCTTGCAAAACATTGCTTTGAAGGGTTGTAATTAGAGAATCCTGGGGGTTGCGATGCAACGAATCTGAATTGTGAAGAGCTAGTTTCAAGTAAAATGTGTCAATGAAGTACAATGTTGATTCTGAAGTATGGAATGCTAATTCTGAAGAGTTGAGACAGGCAAGAGCGTTGACAAAGTATCAAAACCTTGGGTTAACCAGGTCGATGGCTCCCTTCGGTGGGTCTAGCGTTGAAAAATGGCTACTGCTCCGCGAAAGACCCACCGAACGATCAACCCTACCCGGATGTCCTGCCTCTCAAAGACGTATGCAAAACCGAGGTCCGCCAAACGACGGGGAGGAAGCACGCGGATGTCCCTAGCAGAGACGGCTAGGTATAAGTTAGAACCAGTTCCCGGAGGCTCGGAGGGGGAGGGTTTGTCCGCGTGTTGCGCCGGTATGAATCCCGTTGGTATGCACTGTGCGCCATAATACCCCATAAGAAATTTACCGCTCTCTAACCGGTGATGGCGTGTACACGTTGCCACGAGTGCAGGTCGAAAGGAGAGAGAGAAGGAGCGAGAGGAAGAGAGAGAGAGGAAGGTAGGAGCAAGAGACAAAGATGCCAAGGTACGCTGCAACTCAGAAAAGACCGACGTGGAACGAGAAACGGACGGAGCAATGGTGGGGGCACGGGGGCCTGAGGACGGCAGAAGGTAAACGAAAAGAGAGAAAGAGACGAAAGGCCCTTCCTTCCGCGCACCGGGCCCCTGAAAACGTAATTATGCTAATACGCGATTGGCTCGAAAATGTTAAATGCACGAAGCGCAGCACCGCGGGCTACCATGCCTCTCCCCCCATTGGGTCCCTCTCTGTCCCTCTTTCTGCGTTCCTCCTTCTCTTCCGCCGTTGCCCTCTGCCTCCGATCATCGCGCCATCTCTTTCCATCGTCGCTCCGAGTGCAGATATTTATGGAATCTTCTTCATCGCGCGTTCGCTGCATTCCGCTTTGCTCGCTCGCGTCTTGTCTCGTCTCGGCTCGGCTCCGTCTCCGGGGGCCCCAGGGACCGGGGAACGTTTCAATCTTCATTACCGTCGATGCCAGCGCGGCTCACGCCGTGCCAAATTGCGGCCAGGTTTTGTCGCGGCTTTTCGGGAACCTTCGATATCGCGGCGATGATCTCGCCGAAATAAATCGACCGCGGAATCGTACGATCGACGGTCCGCGGAGGGAAAAACGATCGTACGCCGGATGGATCTCGATCCTAACGCCGCGCCATCGAGCTCGCTACGCCCACTCGAGGCCATTTTTCGAAGCAGGAGCTCCTAAGAATGTAGAAAATCTTAATTCCGAACAGAAGATCCGAACGTTATTCTAATTGAAGGGTGCAAATAGAAAATAGCTACAGGGCGAAAGCAAGAAGACTCGAAGCGATTAAGAGAATCCCTGCAGCGAAGATTGCAAGACGGTGAATCCTCGTTCCGAAGATTGCGAGGCGATTAATCCCAATTTTAAAGGTTGCAAGGCGATGAACCCCAATTCTGAAGTAGATGGTTAAAGTAGGGTGGATCTGGATTATAGAAGTTGCAAGTAGAACTAGTTCCAAATGGGAGATTGAAATGGTGTGAAAGTGAGAAAGTTCTGAATGGAAGATTGCTACGAACTAAAACCTAATTTTGAGGGTTGCACGGCGACGAGTCCCAATTGCAACCGAACGTTGCAAGTAGAAGTTCTAATTCCGGAGGTTGCAACGGAACGAAGGTTACGAAGATTCTAAGCGAAGGATTGAGATTAAGTGAAGATTGGAAGACAGTGAATCCTAATTTTGAAGATTGCAACACTGAATTAGAGTTAGGTGCTTCCATTTCGTTGGGTATCCAGCTGGTACCAGCGTTTAACGTGCATCAATGTCGCTTGACAGCGATAAGGACGGCAAAATTCGATCGAGTTCACTCGCTACCTTATGTTTACTTTAATGTCCACGTGTGCCAAAGTGACTTCGACGTTGGTAATCTGCTTCCCTTTGCCAATTTCCTCTCGCTGTATTATTCATGCACCGCAAATAACGATAGAGTTTCTCGTCGTTTAGGCGAGTGTACGGCTGTATTTGCTATCGTCAGAGATTACGTCACTCTCCAAGGTGTCGTTTTTCCGATCGAATAAACTTTGACGTATCTCCCCATCCTTCCCGCCCACGACGGAACGACCGTCATCGATCGCACGAATCTTTCATTTCCGAGGCATTATTTCACTGTCGTATAACGCGATGAATAGAGAACTCGATAAAACAAAATCTCTGCGAGGCTCGTCGGGGAAACGAAATTGATTTAGTTACGAGAGTTTACGTAACTCTCTTTAAACTTGAACAGCAAGGAGGAGTAAAAGTTGTCGTTGCAACGGTTCGTCTGACAAATTGAAAGGGCCCCCGTTCGCGTGGGAAGCGACGACGAGACGTTAAAAACGTCGCTCGATAAAGGGTGCACGACGATCCCGAGCAGGTAAGTCGAAAAACAGGGCCTTTATAATAATGTAGTCAGTTACATTATTATAAAGACCCCGGAGGGGGTCGAACGAGGAAAATTGCTATAAAATTGCAGGATCGAGGAGGCGATCCAGGCGGGCCCCTGCAAGAGGTAGCTGGCGAGGGGCAGCGTCTCCCCGAGCCAATGGCTGCCGCCGCGTCAGCTGCCATTTCGATGGAAATGCGATGGATGTCCGCTATTTCGTATGATAAAATATCGCCGCAAAAACCAGGCCCGCCCCGGTATTCTGCGGCCGCGCAAAGAGACCCTCGAAAACTCACGATGCCCTCCACTTTACTCGTCGAACGGTTATCAATCGTTAGCCAACGGGAAAAACGGCCCCCGAAACCAGTGGCCCTTCTAATGCAATATTTATCCGTCGTGCTCCTGAAATACCAGCGAGAACGCGCGCTGAATACCAAACCGGGAACCGGTGGTCTTCAATTAATCCCGACTCCTGTTCGATTAAACCGCGAAACGGAACAAGTGCATTCGTTTAGGGGTCCTTCGACGCGTAGGGTAGATCGGGGTTCAAAGATCATCCGTGGCGGGTCATATTTTTATCGATGATACATCTAATTGACACGGAAATATTTATCTAGAAATACCTTCTCGAAGGCTAGGATTGGATAGCCCCGATGGCAGGTATTTTTAATATGAGAAACTTTGTTATCTTTTCTAAAGGAACGGATAGAGTTTCTCAAGAATGCGAGTTTCAGATGGTCGGGGCGCAGGGAGGAAAAGTAGGGAAAAATAGCGATCCCAGGCCGGGTAGAAATGGCCGATCCCGTGCTGGCAACTTCGAGGCAACGTGTCTGTCCGCCTGGCCGGCCATTGGACAGCTAAATGACGCCACTTACGCTAGAACTCGACTCGAGTCGGACGCCAAGGTATACCATAGACGACGACAACGGCGACGGGTGGTGCCGAGCTTTCACTACAATTACGGAAAATTGCACTCCGGGCTCGTAACAGTTGTTTTTCAAGCGTTACGGACGGCTTATCTACCGCGACGACGGTAATCCCCAACAATTGGAGCGAACGCGAGAATATGCCAGTCGCTGACACTCGGTGCACGAGAGGTGACCGTTGAAAGTCGACGATCAAAGGCGGTAATGGATCGTCCGCGTCTACGCGGAGACGGGAAACATTCTTGTCCGTGTACGAGAAAACATCAAGCTGCGACGGTACGTCGAAAAATAAATTTTTAAATATTCCGCCGCTCCGGGACTGTTGATTTTTAATCGTAATTACTCGAATTCGCAAATTCGAATTGACTTGTTACCGGGTGTAATCGATGGAATCCTCCGGATGGTTTCTCCTCGACGCTTCCTCGAGACCACTGGGTACTTCAGTTTTGCATATATATCATAAATCCAATCATCGATACGGACAACCGATCGATAACGTAATAACGAAGCGGACTCTTTTTGCATGCCTCCGTACAGGTGTATCATAAATAATTCCTCAAATTTACCCGGCGTAACGTGTCTCTATTGCGCTTATTTTATTCCCGGCACGATATTAGAATAATTTCGCCTCGTAGTCGCGGGCGATGATTAATTCATGAGGCAATCAAACGATCCCAGAATAACACGGTTAACTTATTAATGAACTCGACATTCATGGTCGGAAGCGGAATCGCCGGATCGATTTACGTAGCTCGAGGATGAAACGGCCAGGAATCGTGAAAGTTACTCACCTTTTCGAGCTCGAGGAGGTGAAACCGGAGGACCTGGATCGCCTGGACCATCTGAAACGAGAAAAAGAAATCGAATGAAATTCGTTCGGCAGGACGGACGCACAAACGGGGAACGAAGGGACGGCGGGGGAGGCGGGAGGAACACGAAGGCGGACAACGGACAGCAGGACGCTGTTGCGTCGTCGGCAAGGACAACGACGATCCCCCCGCGACGAGGACTCGACGACGTATCGGGGACCAGCCGCCATTTGTTTCTTCGAAAAGCTGCACGGCTCGCTCCGCGGGGATTAACGGGAATTAATTATTATTGCATCTGCATCCCGCTAATTGCGTCCACGAGTGGATCAATGTACCGGTTCAACGACCGCCAGACATCGGTTCGAACGTTTCGAGGAAGCGTTCGTAAATTGGGACACCGCGGTGATTGTCCTAAATGGAATTCGAAGCATCGAACGAGTCTTCCGCAGGATTTCGTACGGTAAACAATTTTTTAACGAGAAAAAGAATTTTCCTATGTCGAAAGTATGCTCGAATATTACTATTGTCGTAAACTCGGTACGAACCTAGTTTACCCGTTCGAAAGTCTATTGTGAGAATACTTGGCATTCTAGAGCATAATTGCAAGAACTCCGGACGCGTCAAGTTCACGCGACGCTCGGAACAAAGTTAAAAACTCTTAACGAAAGCAATTATGGCGGAATTTTAATCAAATTATGCGACCTTCTAGAGAAATTACACCTGGCTGGTACCCAAATATTTAATTAAGTTTGGAATAGCTTTTAACCGTCTCCCCTTTCCTTGCTCGCCTCTATATTTTATTTCCCTTCTGCCTTGTATATTTTATTTACCGTGCAAAGAAACGATAAATATTTCTGATAGCGCAGCGATGCGTATCAGGAAGCTGGATGAAATTCAGATGCAATGTTTTGGTAACGGTTACGTCGTTATCGATCGAGACTTCGTATCGCATAAACCGATCATTAGTAGCATGACTGTCGCGAAGACGCAGTTTACGAGCAAAACGGATCGAATCGTGAACATCGCTCGACATAGCATTAAATCTTTTTCCAGTTTTATTGGTTCTAAATATCGTCGTCGATGTCATTCGTACCGTGATCTATCAAGATACTAATGCAGCTACCGACGCATTCGTTTATTAATCTTTTTGCGTCGTTCATTTCGGTCTGTTTATGCTCCTTGTACTTCTACGTGCTCCATGCGTGATATGAGAATCTTTCCTGTTTTTCAAACGTCACCGTGTCATTAAGTGAAATATACAAGAAGCTTAATTGCCCTGAATCTCAATGAGGAGCTTAGTATTATTTGAATGCCCTATACACAAGTATGTTCCACGCATTAAGACATAACGGTTAATAATATTCTTTTATCTCGTACGAAGGAGCCTAGATATCTAGAACTTTCTGTAATTGAAATTACATAGAATATTGTAATTTCACTTCAAACAAGTGGAACTTTATATTGCGATCTAAAAAAAATATAATAATAGCAGACGAGTAATTTCGATGAAAAATACCCGGAAAGAGAGCATTCTGGAGCGAACAAATGAACTGAGAGGCATTTATGTATAAATAAACATAATAAGATTTCCTGAGGTACTGGTTTTAGCGCGGAGAAGTGATTGGCGGAGCCCGGAGACCGGACGATTAGACGATCGTCAAGGCCTATGATCTATATCCAGCTATTAGGTATCATCCGATACTACTTAAGAGAAACAAGACACAGTTACTTGCAAATGTAACTGCTCACTACCAGAAAGTGCTCGACTTATCAGTATATTTCTGCACTGAAACGAAGAATAAATAACATTACGTACAAAAACGATTAAATTATCCGAACGATCTCAAACGCTCGAGTTATCAGACGAGTCATTCTGATATTGTAAGCAATTCTACTTGCTACGTTGAATTGCTCGGTGGTAATTAGCAGAGTACGATACACCTCGCAACTTTCTTTCAATGTATATCGAGTGAATTTCATAGTCACGACATTATACTGCCGTAAAATATGAAACATAACGAACATTTAAAGTGCACATTTGGCTCGCTGTATTTCAGCCGTATTAACTGTCGATACGCGTAGAAAGTCCACGTCTGCCGTCGACGAGAGCACCGGGACATACTTTGGAGCCACTCGAGGGTCATCGGCATAATTTTCCGATACGCGGTAACGTTTAAATCCGCCTCCGTTCATCCTCCTCTCCCACGAGTCGCGAAACGGGGCCCCGTCGGTCCCAGGAACGGGGGGCCCGGTGGTAGCCGAAGCGGCGATTCAATTAGGCAAAGCAGCAATCTTAATTGTTAATTAACATTATATTTATGCAATTATGGTCCATTATGATGCCGCGGGGCCGATAACGAAGCTACCGCGATGAGTGCTCCCTCAGATAGCGACTCCACGAAACCCGGTCCCATCGACTCCCGCCTCCTGGACTTCTCTTTCCACCGCTTTCGGCGGACGCGAACACGAACACGCCACGCACGGAACGACCTGGAGGTCGCTGGCCACCGGCGTGCGACTGACACGCCGGGTATCGCCGTCCACCGAGTGCATTTCGATGCCCCGCGTCGCGATACCGACGATTCGCAATCAGCCTCTAATGGAAAAGACTGTGTGCCTGGTTCGTCGAACGCGAGGTGCGTGACCTCCGACGCGAATGATCCAAGACTCTCGAGGCGAAAACTTTGGGAACTAGGAATAGAGTACACGCGGAAGATCCTAGAGAATGGCGTCGACACGCGAAGTCTTGGGTCAGAGTCCTCAGGATGAAGTTACAAGTGGAGTTAGGGAGCAACGACTGTGACAGAGTTTTTAGGAAGATGTCGAAGTTAAAATGGGATAGAAATTCTCCGATGAGGAGCATCCCAGTTCCAAGAAATTGCTCCAAGGAAGAAACCGCCGTAGGAACTATCGGAATAACCGCGACAGAGCCCTCAAAGAGGACGTCAACGCTCGCCAGCATCAAACGATTTCAACACACTCTTTGGAAAACAAAGATGGATATAATTAGAAGAGCCAAGTGCTTTCGAAGCGAAACCGCCACGGTATCGTCGAAACCCCCCAGACAAAAGAGACCTGCCCGACAATAAAGAAGTCGCGGTTGAACGTAGGCAGCCGGATAACGAAGTGAAAAGTGCCAGAGCGCGCGGCCCGATTACGCGTCTCGTAAATATCGCGTTAAACTGGCACCGCGGGGTTGTAAAATCGGGTTCGGATTCGCCCCGGGGCACCGTTGCGCGCGAAACTGTTGATCGCGGCCGATCTGGACCCGATCGATGTAATTAAATGCGCGCAACCGTTTTAGGGGAACGACAACGATCTTGTCCCGCAGTATCCAAACGTCTTCTAATTTTCTGTTATGCGAGAAACTCGAACGATACTCGTTTTCGCTGTTCCACGGCTACTCCGGTCGACGATCGTCGTTACGTAAACGTAAATAGTGGAAAGGAATGATTCCGTCGCTCGAACCCGGGGTAAAAAATAGTCGCGAGAAAGCGGGAAGCGTGTATTTCTTACAGCAATCAGAAACGCTTATTCGACGCATCTCGCGCGAAGAAACGCTCGAGTACGTAATCGTAAATATCGAGAAGGGATGATTTCGTAACTTGAATCCGGGGTAAAAAAAAGTGTCACTTGAAAGCGGGTACGGCTTACTTTCTACGACTATCAGGACTTATACGATTATGTGATGCATGTTGCAGAACAGTTGTTCCTAGCACTAATCATGAATATCGAAAAGGGATGATTTTATTGCTTGAATCCGGGGTGAAGTATCGTCACTAGGAAACGAGAACAATCGTACTTCCTACAATCATCAGAGCCATGATTATTAGATGAAATACTTGCACTAGATTAGTATTGAAGAGGGACGGTTGTGACTTGAATCCGGGATAAAAAAAAGTGTCACTTGAAAGCGGGCTCACCTTACTTTCTACTGCTACCGGAGCTGTGATTATGTGACACATGTTGTACGATAGAACAGTTGTTCCTAGCGCCAGATAATCATAAATATCGAAAAGGGATGATTTTATCGCTTGAATCCGGGGTGAAATATCGTCGCTTGAAAACGGGGTCAGCTTACTTTCCACGGTTATCGGACCCGTGATTATTCGACGCGTGTTTCACGACGGAGCGGTCGTTTCTCGCATTATGTAATCATAAATATCGAAAAGGGATGGTTTTATCGCTCGAATTCGGAGTAAAAAATAGTCGTTCGAGGAGGAAGGAGGGGGGACGTTACTGCCCACAGCGATCAGAGCCACGATTGTTCGACGCGTCCTACGCGACGGAACAGTCGTTCCCTGGTAACGGCTCGCAAGAAGGCGTCGCATAGCCGGGGAATCGGGTCTTCGACACTTCGCTGGTCCGGCGTCGTCGTCGACGGGCGAAAGAAGGGCGGCGATGTCGAGGGAACAAGGTAAAAAAAAAGAGAAGACCGGCGCAGGCACGCCGCTGGGAAGCGAGAAGAAAGAGAAAAAGAGAAGATGGTATCGGAGCCAGTAACGAACACACAACACGCAGCCCCCGAGTGCTCGTTGACGAGATGGTGCGAGAGTCGATTCGCCACGACGTGTTTCTCTGCTCTCTCTTCGTCGGCCTCCGCGCACAATGTGTCCTCTATATCCCCGGGCGGTTTTGTTGCTCGACCAGCCGCGGCTGCTCCGTTTCTCTCGGACCCGTTCCGTTATCTACTCCTCTGCCTACTCGATCCTCTGCGTTTCCCTCTCCGTTTCGCTGACCGCGGGACTCTTCGCTAATCGAATGCAATCGCGGACGCGACACGCTCTCTCGCAGCCTCTCGCACTCTCCCGACGCGATCCGACCACTTTTCGGCGTCGAAATTCGTCGACGCGATCTTCGACCTCCGAGCACAATATCTCCTCTATACTCTCGCCGCCCCCCTCCCCCCATCACTGCGATACCCTCTCGGTAGTGATGGGACCAACAACGTTGATACTTCAATATCTGTGCGTTTGTTATTCCCCTGTAGCTCCTGCTCCGTTCTACGGATCCTAATGAAACTTTGTTGTATT